GGATGTGCCCCCGGTGTCTGAAGTCTCTGCACGACCTGTTCAGGTGTGCGAGCGGTGGAAGTATGATTGCCTCTCCTGGCCTGAGAAGTAGCTGCGGCTGTAGTGGTTGAGACCGCCTGAGCTAGGCCAGTGCAAACTGATAGAATCTAAGCCAAGGCCTCATAAAGACCTAGAATCACAATGGGCACAGCTGGTGCCTGAGCCGGTACTGCTGGAGCGCCCATAGCTGGGACCTGATCCTGAACTGGGGCGGCTGGTGGATCTGCAGGTGCTGCCCTAGCAGTTGTGCGGGCCACACCTTTACCTCTACCGTGACCACGACCGCGTCATCGGCCTCTAGTGGCCATAGCTGGTGGTACTGGTGGTCGTCCATCCTGACCGGTAGCGCGTGTCCTCACCATCTATGAGAGAATAGAATAACAGAAGTTTAGTACTCGGATCAACAAATTCGCATGACAAGAATTTCAAGAATATGAAGGTTTTCCTAAAGGTTCTGCAGCCTCTCGAGGATAAATACAGACGTCTCTATACCGATCTGCGAGACTTTACTAAACCTGTTAATGACTCGTAAAATCTATGTAACCTAGGCTCTAATACCAACTTGTCACGACCATAAACTCGGACTCGGTTGCGATGGCGCCTCTCGTGAAACAAGGCCAGCAGATACTTCCCATTTCAATTTTTAACAGTTAAACCATAAGGAATAAGTCTAAGCATAATAAATAAAATCTCAAAGTAGCAGATAATAGCATAATTTGCGGAATACAACCCAACACAGCCCGATACCGGGGTGTCACTAGCCATGAGCATCTCAAATATCCGGAATAATCAAGAAAGGTCTATAGAGTTCAAGAAAAACTAAAACAAGGAGTAATAAGATAGGGAAGAAGCTCTAGGCTGCGAACGCTGGCAGCTACCTAGAGAATCCTCCGATCCGCCTGAGCTGGAAAGGTTAACACTCGGGAGCGGGACCAGATGCGCCTGAATCAGCACACGGGGTGTAGCGAGTAAAGTGAGTACTCCGGCTCCGTGAGTAATAATCATAAATAAAGACTGAAGCATGAAATCGCGTAAGGCACATTATAGGTTATAATGAAGCAGTAAAACAGGTAAGAACAGTGATTTAGTAAGATATGAAAAATGATATAAGTTTAGTTTAAATTTCAAGAAATGCCTACTCACCAATTAAACAGGTAAATGACAGACAAATAAAACAGATAAGCACATAAAGGATTGCCCTTCGGGCACAATGTCAACAATATCAGCCCTTCAGGCTATATCTCACTTCATAATGGGTACCCGCGCTCACTAAGGGTGTGCGGACTCCTGGAGGAGCCCCTTACGGCCCAAGCGCAACATCAAGCCATCTCGTGGCATCATCACTAGGATCTCAGCCTTATATCAACAAGCCACCTCGTGGCGTACATATCTCAGGACCTCGGCCTCAAATCATGATCAGTGTTTCCTCACAACATAGGCCCTCGGCCTTACTCAGTCAAAAAATTCTCACAAGCCACTTGGCAGTAGTAAAACATGATTCTCAGCCCAGTCATCATTTAAAAGATCATTTAGGTGTTAAAACATAGTAAATATGGCTAAGTATGAAAACAGTGAAATATAACATGACTGAGTTCAAGTATAAAGTCAAAACAGTAAGAAAATATCAGTAAAAATCCCTGAAGGGTTCAAATAGTTGGCACGAGACCCAAATATGGTATTTAGCCCAAAACAAGATGATAGCAAATAGATTTCAGTCAATACGCGGGAAAATAGTCATTCAGGACGGACTAAGTCATAATCTCCAATAGTGCACGACCCCACGCTCGTCATCAAGCGTGTGCATCACCTCAATATAGCACAACGATGTGCAATCCGGGGTTTCATACCCTCATAACATCATTTACAATTATTACTCACCTCAATCCGGTCTAATCTCTAGCCCGCGATGTCTTTGCCCCTCAAATCGGTCTCCACTCGCGGCGAATCTATCCAAAATCAGAATCACGGCGTCAAAATATGCTAAGGGAACGAAGCCCAAGCGAAAATAATCAATATACGACACAAATCCCGAAATTACCAAAATCTGACCCTGGGCCCACGTCTTGGATTCCGATAAAATTCACATAAATAGGTTCCTTATCTCCCCCCGATTTCATACATACCAAAAGCATCAAAATCCATCCACAAATGACCCCTCAAATCCCAAATTTTTGGTCTCCAATTTCAAGCCCTAGTTCTTCAATTTTAGGCTTAGATTCCATGATTTATTAGGTAGATTTCACATTAGAATCGAGTTTTAGGTCCATGAATTTTACCTCCAAATAATTCCCCTTGAATCCCTCTTCAATCCTCTTTAAAAAGCTCCAAAAATGCTCAACAATGGAAGAAATAAATCCCAAAATCCCGGACAAGACGACTATTTAAACCTTCTGCCCATGCCTGAAATCCTTCTTCGCGAATGCGGTCAACGCCTCGCATTCGCGAAGCACAAACCAGTTTTGACCAAAATCCTCTTATGCGAACGCGTCATGCCCATCGCAAACGCGATGGTTCCTCATAATAACTCTTCGCGAATGCACTCTCTCTCTCGTGAACGCGATGAATAACTTGACCTCAAACCCAGCTGACCAATTTCCTCTACGCGAACGCGCCTCCACCTCGCGAACACGATGAATCACTTCCCAGCCCCTTTGCGAATGCGGAGCCTTCCTCGCGAACGTGAAGGCTAAAATCTCAGCCTCTTCAACTGACCCTTCGCGAACGCGAAGGTCAAATTCTCTGCAATACTTCAGCAGTTTTTCTGCAATTCTCAACAACAAGAAATGGTCCGATTGACCACCCGAAACTCACCCGAGGCCCCCGGGGCCTCAACCAAACATGCCAACATATCCCAAAACCTTATTCAAACTTGTACCAATCTTTAAAACACCTCAAACAACATCGAATCAACCAAAACACATCGGATTCAAGCCTAAGTTTCCAAACTTTTCTGAATTCAGCTTTTGATCAACAACCAAACCATGTCCGAATGACCTAAAATTTTGCACACACATCCCAAATGACACAGCGGAACTGCTGCAACTCTCGGAATTCCATTCCGACCCCTATATCAAAATCTCGCCTACCAACCGGAAATCGCCAAAATCTCAACTTTGTCAATTCAAGTCTAAATCTACTCCGAACCTCCAAAACTCATTCCAATCACGCTCCTAAGTCCCAAATCACCTCCCGAAGCTATCTGAACCATCGGAACTCACATCCGAGCCCTCTAACGCATAAGTCAACATCCGGTTGACTTTTCCAACTTAAGCTTCCTCAAAAGAGATTATGTGTCTCAAACATTACCAAATCCTTTCGAACCCGAGTCAACCAACCCGATCACATATAGAACCGATAGACAAAGCAATAAGAAGCAGAAATGGGGGAAACGGAGCGATAACTCATAAGACGACTGGCCGGATCGTCACAAGTACTAGTTATGAAATAAATTAGATTAAGAATATCCAATGCTACTTCTGATGTATGCAGTGTCAGATCATGATATTTTATAATGTATAATCTAAATTGAAACAAAGGAGTACTAGTTATGAAATAAATTAGATTAAGACTATCCAATGCTACTTCTGACGTATGCAGTGTCAGATCATGATATTTTTATTACTACTAAGGCACTTTGTATAGTTTAATAGCATCTCTTAGTAGCTATATTAAAAATAAACTTTTTTTGGACGGGCTCACTTTAATTCTAACATGCATCTCCCGTACCAACAGATCTAAATCAGGTCAATTCATTAATTAATAGAAACAACTAGGAATCACATTTATTGCATTAAAATGCTTCATCTTAACATTCACGCTAAAACTCTAAATATCTGAATAGACTCTTTTAGTTTTAGGTAAATTTTCACGTGGCACACAGCTTTGTGCCACCAATTTAATTTGTAATTACTTTTTAAAAAAAGTTTAACAGATACCTATTTTTTATATAACTTTAAATGCTTACACTTTTTTCCTCTTGCTTTTGTTTTATTCTTTTTTGTGCTTCTTCTTCTTCTTAGTTGCAAAATAAATTTATTAAATTTGTTGTTATTTTAATAATTTAATGATTGAGTTGAAAGTTACATATCAAATTTGAGCTCATTTGGAATAGAGTTGGGCATTGAATCATGTATTGGTTTGTTGAAATTCGAAGAAGAAGTTTATGTTTCAGAACTTAAAATTTGAAATCTGAAGTTGCATTCAATAGATTGAACACTTAGGATTCACATTTCTGAAGTTGCATTTGAACAATAGAAGAAATTCAGGTTTAATTTATGAAGTTGTATTGAAGAGATTCAACTACTTCGGATTCGAATTTCTGAAGTTACATTTAAAAATAGAAGAATTTTAGATTTGATTTCTTAAGTTGCATTGAAGAGATTGAACTACTTTGGATCCGAGCAGATACACTTTGCAAAATTTTATCCAATGCGGGTATAACTTCAATGATGGCCACAAAAGTAGGTATATATGAAGATGCCCCTAGTTTTTTTGGGAGATGGAGAAGAGAACATTATTCTAAATCAGATATTCTCTCCGGTCCATAATAAGTGACCAATTTATTTTTGGCACGCCCATTAAGAAAATACTAAATTTTATACAAAAATACCTAGTATGACTAAACTACCCTTAATTAAATATTTGATGTGATGAGTAAGAAATTTTTTTAGGGATATGTACATAAGGGTAATTTTGTAAAAACAAATTGAATTTTTTTTTATTATATAAATGGACACTTATTTTGGACCAAAATAAAAAAGCAAATTAGTCACTTATTGTGGACCGGATGAAGTATTTAATAAAATGAATAGGGATTGGTGGCCCCCTCGAGATTTGTGTATTTATGAAATATTAATTGAAAAATTAGTAAATAATAATCCGTGCTAGAGATCTGGTTCACATACATGGTAAATCTATATATAATACGATACTTGAAAAGCAATGAGAGACTTACACAAAAACTTTCATAAAGCGTGAAGTAACTTCATAGAATGGCATTGTTAAAGCTTGGTTTCTTTTTAACTATCCTTCTAATGGCAGCAGCTACAAGTTAGTAACTACCTTATTATCTCTAACTATTAATTTTTACATCGTTATGTTGGGGTAAATATGTACATGTAGGTACATGTGTGTAACTCTCACATATTCATCTATATGCACGGCTATGTATGTGCTTCTATGCATATCGTTTGAATGTGAATTTTATGTTATAATAATTCATAATTTTATGTTTTTTTGGTGAAATATCTCAGTCAAAGCTGCACCAAATGTTGATCTCGATGTCTCAAAGATGGAGAGAAGACTACTTCCACAACTTAATACTTGTTTGAGATCTTGTGAAAACAACGATGGTTGCAGTGATTGTTGGGTTTGCTGTACCTGCAAAGACTTTTTTGGAGCTATTACATTCATGTGTCAGGCATAAATTTCAAAAGAGTAGTACGTTGAAATCATATAACAATAAACTCAGTAGCAAATCTGTTTAATGCATTTATGTTTTAGTGTGATTTCAATGTTTTTTTTTTCTTTTATTTGTCGTCTTTAATAATTTTACGAATAATGAAGAAAGTGAGGTATTACTTTCTATTCATAAATAAATGAATTTTCAAATTGAATACCATTTGAGCTAATTTATTTTAGTACTTTAATCATCAGCATGCATATAGTAGATTTATTTATGAATTTAGCGCATATGTAATTTATATTCGAATCCTTTTTCCTATCTTCATGGTTCCCTTTACATCGACTTTTCTTTAACACAATATGGTTCCAACTTTTTGGCAATTTATGTCGAAAAATTGTTCAATTTTTTACAAAATGGACTTATATAAGTAGTAAATTTACAAAAATGAACAAAAAGATCCTAATCGGTGAGTGTAACAACCAACGAATTGTTGGCAGTTCAACTAACGAAGTTAGCTATGAATGTTCAATTAGGAATATCCCATATTAGAATGAAAAAAGAAAAGTTAGGGTAATAAATCATCACTAGAAAAGTCAGTTGTCGAGGTACCATTTTGACAAAACTGTGATATCCTAATGGTTGCGCTGAAGTAGATCATAATGGCTGAAATTCAAAAATAACCAGAATTACAAGTGGTAATTAAAAAATAGCCATAGTTTGAAAAGTAATCGAAATTTAGTTAAATTTTATGTAAAGATAAATCTGAAAGAAAACATTCATCAAAAGCCAGAAAATATTCCAGCATAATATACTGGAATTCGAAATTTTTATATGTAAACCTCCAGCATAATATACTGGAGTTCCAGCATAATGTATTGGTCCAGCATAATATGCTGGAAGTTCATACACAGGTGCTCCAATCTCTAGTATATTATGCTAGAACTTTCCGTGTGCTGGATTTCCAGCATAATATATTGAAAATTCATACACATGTGCACCAATCTCTAGTATATTATATTGGAAATTTCTGTGTTGCAGCAAAATAGTGGCTATTTTCCAATGATTTTGCAAATGCTTGCTATTTTTCAATTATCAGTCCAAAAATTGATCAATCTGTGCTATTTTTATCATAACTACCAGTTGGGCCTTGGCCATTACACCTTTACATCATGAGATCGTTTACCCTATGATATAGGTAAAAATTACACGGGGCGCCCTATTTGGTCGCCCCCATTTAACCTATACCTATTTTTTTTAAAGTTTTAACTTGTGCTCACTTTTTAAACAACTTCAACCCCATTTCCCTTCCTCCTTCTCCTCATTTGTTTTCTTCTTCTTCTTCTTCTTCTTTCTTCTGCTGTTGTTGGTGCTGCTATGAAACTTCAGTTCATGGGATGATTGCCATAAGTATGTTTATCAGATTATTTAAAAATAAATTATAAATAATTACGCAAGTTAGTAAATAATAATTTGTGAATATTTTCACGTACGGGAAGTTTAAAGTCACACTTAGTGATTCTTTTCATGATAATTCTGTTCTTTTCATGTTTATTGTTTCCAAAATTTATGATTTAGATACTGTTGGTAATATCAACTTCCAACCAAGAGGTTGTGAATTCGAGTCACCCCAAGAGCAAGGTGGGGAGTTCTTGGAGGGAAGGATGTCGAGGGTCTATTTGGAAACAGCCTCTTTATGGTAGGGGTAAGGTCTGCGTACACACTACCCTCTCCAGACCCCACTAGTGGAATTTTACTGGGTTGTTGTTGTTGTTGTATATTGTTGGCAATCTGATTATTTATCTAGTATGTTAGAAAGCTTTTTCAAAAAATTCAGCTTATATAGTGTTGAAGTTTTTACAAATGAACTAAATAACTTCAGCATCTTCTGTTGAAATTTTTGAAAAAGCTTTATGACAAAACTAATGAATCCAGGACAAAATAACTTCAGCTTATTTAGTGTTGAAGTTTTTATAAATGAACTAAATAACTTCAACATCTTCTGGTGAAGTTTTTGAAAAGCTTAATGACAGAATTAATGAATCCAGGATAAAAAAAAAACTTCAGCTTATTTAGTGTTGAAGTTTTTATAAATGAACTAAATAACTTCAACATCTTCTGGTGAAGTTTTTGAAAAGCTTAATGACAGAATTAATGAATCCAGGATAAAAAAAAAACTTCAGCTTATTTAGTGCTGAAGTTTTTATAAATAAACTAAATAACTTCAGCATCTTCTGCTGAAATTTTTGAAAAAGCTTAATGACAAAACTAATGAATCCGGGACAAAAAAAACTTCAGCTTATTTAATGCAATTACAAATAAAAACTTCAGCTACTATGCTTAAGTTCAGCAATTACAAACAAAAACTTCAGTAAATAGAGAACAAAATTTCAGCTACTATGCTTAAGTTCAGCAATTACGAACAAAAACTTCAGCAAATAAGAGAACAAAACTTCAGCTACTATGCTTAAGTCAGCAATTACAAACAAAAACTTCAAAACACTTGGTTTACTTCAGGCCCGTCTACTAGAGTGCTAAAGTTTTGCGTGATTACATTTGCTACTTCAGTCACGTATGAAGTTACGTGAAAAAAGTGGGTACGCTTGCAATTCTTTTTGCAAAGCGAGCACAAATTAAAACGTGACCCAAAAAACGAGTATAGATGCAAATGCTCCATGATATAGTTACCTACATACAAAGAATACAAGAGTAACTTTTATGTTCATATACAAACATAATATTGTATAACATTAAAAATAATCTAATAACTTTCGTGAAAATATGAAATGATTGTAGGCAAGCCATTTCAAGGAAACTTACTCTAGGATAATGATTTTTTTCGCATGGTGCAAATGGGTAGACAAAATTTTATCCCCGAGATATAATGCTAACGGCTTACCCAAGAAATCAAACTTACACACGCTTTGAGCATTGTTAATATGATGATAGGTGTTTAATGGGCGGGCTGGGACGGGCTGTAGACAAAAAAAATCAGTCCGTATGATTATCGTTCCGGGCTGCTAGTGGGTTGTGTTTTGCGGGTTTTATTGGGCACGTACGAGTTCGGGCTTAAACGGGCCGATCGGGCCGGTCATTTTTTTTGTAAATTTTATTTTTCTTATACAATGTTATTGATACTTAAGTGTTTGCAAACCTTGAAGAATTAAATTGTAATCTGCCAATTATTAGGGGTGGGAGGGCTATTTTCTTAATGGGGGAGGCCGAAATGGCCATTTGTCCAAAATCTGGTCGTTGCCCAACGGTCATTTTGGAATTTGACTGTTGGCAACGGTCCACAAAATTAAAAAAAAAAATTGTAAGGATAACGGGCTGAACCGTGCTGCAGCCCGTTAAAAACTCGTTAATGGATTAGCGGGCTTAGCGGGTTTAAGTGCACCGATATTCAAAATTTGTTCATCTAAAACCCGTTCCCCGTCCAACCCGTCCCAGCACGCCCTAATATGCTACAGTAACGGGCTGAACTGGGCCGAAGCGGGTTGAAAACGTGTCAGCCCGGCCCGATTAACATGTATATGACTAAATATTCTTCAATGTCAGTAGAATGAAGACTTAGTAGAATATTTATTTTTAAGAAGAATTACATTCCCATATATTTTGTTTACTGCAAGTGAAAGCCTTTAAATAAGGCTTTAGATTTAAGGCCAGTGATCACAATCAATTTAAAACCCTCCAGCCAACGGTCATAATGTAAAGCCCCATAAAATCTTATAAGGCTTTAAAGACTTATGGAACATTAATGAATAATTTAATTATGGTTTTTCATTCCAAGAACAACCACGGATGAGAATAATAGCATACTAACATTGTATTATACCTATATGAAGGGTTGGAGGCGATTCGAATTGAAAATATAACAAGGTAGCTCAAAAACTCGAGTTCTGAATCAAAGAAATAAAAAAAAAATAGTTTCATGGATAGGACGCCAGGGGCATTTGCGTCACGATCCTTGGAGATGTCCAAATTCCCCAAGCAAAGATGGGAACTTTTCCTAACCTCTGATGCATGAAGCCTTTTAAAAGGCATTTCGGCCCCTCACTTCCCCATTCCGAAAATTGCTCCAAGTGTGGAGACCTATGGAGGAGAAAACGACCTAAAGCTCTCATCTACAAACCAAGGTGAGTTTCTATCATTCTTTAGAGTTAATTAAAGTTTATTAGTATCATTATTAATAATATCCAGGCAATCTTGGAGTTGTTAGAAGTCTTTAAATCCTTTAAGAACTCAAGAATTACTTGAAATGGAGATTTTCAAGAATTACTTTAAAGAGGTAAGTTCTATTACTTGAGATTCACGTATGTCACGATCCCAACTCCTGCATCTGAGTTACGGGGGCACCTAATGAGTTACTACCATTCGACGAACCCTTTATCTAATACATGGCTGAAGCCTGAAAGCGTAGAATAAGAGAAGAAAAAACGATACTAAAATGGTCTCATACACAAAATAACAGTGTGAAAGCATAAAATATGCCTCAAAGCATCCCATGGAACTCAAAAGATAGATCTAGTCATGGAGCACTAGAATTAGAATGCAATTGATACGACTCGCAGCTCGATTATAAAGTCATAAAAAGAAATAAAAGGATAGAAGCTGAAGCCGTCTCTCTATTGGGAAAAATTGAGTTTACATATTAAAGTGGTGTAAAGATGACGTGTTATGACACATAGTTTGGTCAAAGAGTTACAACTGGCAAAGAAGCACGAGTTGCAACAGATACGAGCAGAGACAAAGGAAGAGGCACGAGTGGTTATCCAAAAGACTCAGCGCTCGTACTTATTTAAGTCCAAGAATCAAGGGGAATGAATCTGACACTACATGGGAGTACAGATACAGTGTTTAATGAACCTTAAATACTAAAAACGTTAGAGAATCTGTATTAAATATAATGATTATGTAACGTAGCATTTAATGTCTTTCATTGTCCATAATGGCCTTATTATGACAAAGGCAAAACGCATATCTCCAAAATAGCTATAAAAGGGAGAGAACGGATCAATTGTAGGGACACGAAATACTATCTGAATATACTAATTTACTTGCTTTTCTTCTGATTATCTTATTGCTAGCCAAATTACTTTCTTTCATATATTCTTTTGATTATTAGTAACCCGAGTTCTTCTAAATTAAAGCTTTGACCGAAATCCCATTTTCTGGTTAAACAAAT